TTGTAAGTCATAGTTGCACATTCTTCTAGTTGTTGTATGTGGGACGCGGCCTCAGCATGGCCGGAGAAGCAGTGCGTCTGTGTGCGCCCGGGATCCGAACCCGGGCAGCCTGCATCGCAGCGCATGCACTTAACCGCTAAGCCACGGGGCCGGCCCTATTCCCTGTTCTTAAGGCTACCATAGTCCATTGTGGAAATAGCCAGCATAATTGGTCATTTAAAATGAGTGAGTTTTCCCAAAGAAACGGTGTTAATATTTTAAAAACTGTTTGGATTCAGAGGCTAGTCCACAAAAGCCTATTAGCTCACTGTATAACTGAATTATTGTATTACTAGAAGTCCTTCTGAGTCCAGCCCTCTTTGAGCTTTCCTAGGTTGTCTAAGCTCTGAAGCTAGTTTATTCATGTGTTCATTCATTCCTTCTACACATTTTACTGAGCACCCATTATGTGTCAGACATTGTGATAGTTGCTAGGTATACAATGACCAGGACTGTCATAGTCCTCAACTTCATAGCATTTATTGTCTAGTGGATAAAGTTGGGTGAGTAAATACAGGAAGAAGGTTGGTAGAAGCTCTGAAAAGCTCCTATAACAGTGTTGGGAAGGGGAGGCTGAGGAGTTCTTGTAATGAGCTTGGGATCAGGAAAAGTGTGTTAACCTAGGGAGGTGGGGGCCTAGACTGGCATTCAGAGAGTAACTTCTCCCCTGGCAGTAATGAGGAAGCCCTAACAGCATGTACTGGCAGCACCTATTTGTACAGATGGGTCTTTGGAAATTTTGGAGACTACCTTTACATAAGAAGATCTATACTTAACAAGAATAACTAGAGGGGCAGTAGGAAGGCCTCAAGGAGACAACATTATGACATTTGATCATCTCTAGATTCATTTCAAATGTGAGCAAACAAATGTGTGACAGTATTGCCACTGCTGGTGGTGATGGAGAGAAGAAAATTTGTATGTCCTTATTCTTTAATTCTGAAAGATGATCTGTAAAATGGCATTTCTTAAATTTTTGTATGAACCCAGCCCTTGAGAAAGATTTTGGAATATTTCCCTAAGTATATGATTAGCTCTCGCTGTCCTGTTTCAAAATTCTGTGGTAGAAAAAAACTAATTTATTAGTGTGGAAATTTATTTTATTAGAGTGATTTTGTTATTGAATATACTGATCAGCCTATCTCAAGTAAACTCACTCAGCTTACTCAAGTAAAACCAAGGAGTTTACTTTAAGATACAGAGCTATTGTGGTATCCGAGTATCATGCCAACAAATATTGGGGCTATTCTTTCTCTCTCTTGGGAGTTGCCCTGCTCCATACATATTATGACTTCTTTGCTCGAGTAGGTACCACCAAACAGCTTGATCTCTTAGTTCCCCTAGTCTAAATTCTTGGCAGAGGCATCTGACTGCCCTTACTTATTTTCTTTTCCAGGCATATTCTAGCTTGTTGGCAGTCCATGAATGGTTCAGGTAGCTGGAGCTGGGGCTAGGGATAGTTAGGAATTATGCGGTGGGTTGCCCATTCAACAGAGCTGTGGGTGTGGCCATCCTTGAAAAAGTGTGGTGAGATATGCAATGGTTCCTAGCATTGATTACTAGTTGTGTTATAGTTGGAAACAAAACTACAGTGTATAGTGATGCTCTACCGTTTGATTAGTAGGAGAGCCTAAGCTCGGTATCTGTTTCTCATTTCAGATCACCCTGAGACGATGGAGGAAGTGAAAATAAAGCAACCCAAACAGCAACAGGCAACAGAAATTCACTCTGATAAGTTATCTCGTGAGTGACTTCAAACCTACATAGATTTGCTGCTTTCTGATAAATCCCCCAGAGAAAACAAAGTCATCAGATCTTAAATGATTTTAGAGCATGAGACACCCTAAAGAGGTTCCTTTTCTTTGTTCTTCTTTTTCCCTTAGAATTTCCTCTTATCTACTGATAACCTGTTTTCCCTTCAAGGAATTTTTCGCTTTCTTAATGTTTAGAAATTCTGAGCACTTTCGTTTTTCCTAGAAGGGTAAAAAGCAGAGGGAGAGGAGTTAGCTGTCACTACCTGAAACTCTGTCCTGATGCTCTGACGTAAAATGCCCACTCCGGTTGATGGAGATAGTCCCAACTCCAGCCTTTAGAAAGAACTAAAAATAAACTATTTCTGTTGCCAGGTTGTGGCAGTAGGCAAAATTCATCAAGTGCATGATGGATACTCATTAAAGTCTGTGTTTTTCATGATTTCTGTTTCATGCTAAGATTATTTTGATGTTTAAAAATGTTTACTTCATGTTTTATAGAGATTATATGTCAGTTTTTTGTTAAAATGATCTGTTTTTTGTTTGTTTTTATTTTAATAGGATTTACCACTTCAGCAGAAAAAGAGGCTAAATTAGTCTATACCAATTCTTCCTCTACTTCTTTCTCTGGTCCTGCTGCTACTCTTCTGCAGAAAATTCCCAGCACCCATTTGTCATCTCTTGTTACAACCTCTGACCTCTCCCCAAGGCCTGGCCACCATTCTTTATCTCAGATTCCTCCAGCTATCCCCAGCATGCCTCACCAGCCCACAATTTTACTGAACACAGTTCCTGACATTGCTTCTCCCTCCATATATCCTGGGACACAGAACGTACCAAGCCCTGCTGGCCTGCCACGCTGTCGATCAGGCAGTTACACCATTGGCCCCTTTTCCTCTTTCCAAAGCGCTGCACACATCTATAGCCAGAAACTGTCTCGACCCTCTTCAGCAAAGGCAGGTGAGTGAGAAAACGAAAGGCAGCCTGCAATGTCAGCTCCTCTCCAGCCCCAATAAAAAAAGAATGTCATCTCTTCTCTTTGCCTTTTCTTTTGAAAAGTAAAGGGACACACCCTGCATTGTTCTGGTGTGACTAAGGAAGAGTCTTGCATTTGGTCCAGTAACATTCATTCATCAATACAAATGAAACAGGACTTCTTAGGTGCTGGGGATAAAGAGATGAATGAGATAGTGCTTCTGTTTACTAGGAGCTTACGGTCTAGCCACGGGTTTCCCCTCACAGATAATCGTAGACCTGTGAGTGTGCTACATGCGTTCTTTCATATTCAAATAGTTATTCCTGATATCAGACAAATTAGTATTTTTTAATTTTTCAATGTAAAGTCAAGTATGACCTGAATAAATAACCAAAAAATTCTTGAAATATGGTATCTTAATTTTAAATAAAGTAGACTCATATTATCAGTCAAGTCTTTTTTCCATTTTTTATAACAGCTCTATTGAGATATATTTCACATACCATAAAATTCACCCCTTTAAAGTGTGCAATTCAGTGATTTTTAGTATATTCACAGAGTTGTGCAACCAACACCATCTTATTTTAGAACATTTTCATTTTCCCAAAAGAAACCCCATACCTATTAGCAGTCACTGTCCATTTTCTCCTCCCACCGCCCCTGGCAGCCACTCACTATTTTCTGTCTCTATAGATTTGCCTATTCTAGACATTTCAAGTAAGTGGAATCATACAATTGGTGGCCTTTTGTGAATGGCTTCTTTCACTTATCATACTGTTTTCAAGGTTCATCCATGCTGTAGCATGTATCATTACATCATTCCTTTTTATGGCTGAATAGTGGTCCATTGGATGGACATACTACATTTTGTTTATCCATCTATCAGTTGATGGACATTTGGGTTGTTTTCACTTTTTGGCTGTTATGAATAATACTACTATGAACATTCATGTACAAGTTTTTGTGTGGAGTTTTTGTTTTTGTTTTTGTTTGTACAAGTTTTTGTTTTCCTCTCTCTTGAGTGTATACCTAGGAGTGGAATTACTAGGTCGCACGGTAACATTATGGTTCCTCTTTTTGAGGAACTTCCAAACTGTTTTCCAAAGTGACTACACCAATTTACCACCAGCAGTGTATGAAGGTTCCAGTTTCTCCATATGCTTGTCAACGCTTATTGTCTGTCTTTTTGATTTTACCTATCCTAGTGGGTTTGAAATAGTATCTTGTTTTTGTGGTTATCATTTGCACTTTCCTAATGACGAACGTTGTTGAGCATCTTTTCATGTGCTTATTGGACATCTGTATACCTTCTTTGGGTAAATGTCTGTTCAAATCCTTTGCCCATTTTTAAATTGGGATATTTGTTTTTTTATTGTTGAGTTGTAAGTGTTCTTTATACATTTGGGATACAAGTCCCTTGTCAGATAATGATTTAGAAATATTTTCTCCCATTCTGTTGGTTGTCATTTCATTTCCTTGAAGCATAAAAGCTTTTAATTTTGATGAAGTCTAATTTATTTATGTTTTTGTTGTTCCTTGTGCTTTTAGTGTCATATCTGAAAAACTATTTGACTAACCCAAGGTCACAAGATTTATATGTATGTTTTTTCTAAGAATTTTATAGTTCAGGCTCTTGCATTTAGGCCTTTTATCCATTTTGAATTCATTTTTGTACATGGTGTCGCATAAGGGTCTAACTTCATTTTTTTGCATGTGAATATTCAATTGTCCCAGCACCATCTATTAAAAGAGTATTATTTCCCTGTTGAATTGTCTTGACACCCTTGTCATAAATCATTTGATCATAAATATAAGGGTTTATTTCTGGAGTCTCCGTTCTATTCCACTCACCTATATGTCTGTCCATCTGCCAGTACCACATTGTCTTGATTACTGTAGCACTGTAGTAAGTTTTGAAATCACCAAGAGTGATTCTTCCAACTTTGTTGTTCTTTTTCATATTGTTTAGGCATTCTGGATCCCTTGCATTTCCAAATGAACTTTAGGATCAGCCTGTCAATTTTTGCAAAAATAGGCAGATGGGATTTTGATAGGGATTGCATTGAATCTGTAGATTAGTTTGGGGAGTATCTTAACATTGGTCAAGTTTTTAAAAACCTTAGTAATATCCACGTTAAGGTGAGTTACTGCTAAGCTATGTTTCATAAATAGCCAATCTATATTTTTTAATCAGTATCTGATTTCAAATGAAATGGATATTATAATATGCAGCTTCAATCAGAGATATTCAATGGTCCATTTTAATAAATATGAATTTGTGCATATATGTGTGTCTGTGATAATTCTGGGTGAATATTTTTGTGATTTAATCTTCTAAAATCAATAATAATAATAATACTCAGTGTTCTGGTATGAACTTTTTTTTCCCTTATGAGAGAAATTCAGTAACATCAATGTCACTAGTACCCTGTATTGTCATCAAAACTTTTTTTAAACCTTCTTTGTTCACCCCTTTCCCAGAGAGGGATAGAGAACAGAAGAAGCTACTCAGTTCAAAAATATTTCCTAATTTCTGTTTCTGTTGTCATCTGGATTATTTTTGACCCATGGATTGTTTATAAGTATGTTGTTTAATTTTCAGATAGTTGGCATTCTCTACTTACCTTATTTCCACTGTGGTCAGAGATCATATTCTGAATGGCATAAACAGTAGTAGACAACAATATATAGATAACAATGTATGTATAGTCAACAACAATATAGTAGACAACAATAATAGCCCATAAGTGATTGGAGTCAGATTTTTCTGTGGTGATTGAATAGTTTGGGAATGAGATTAAGATATTATTTAACTTTAGACTTTTTAAAGATAAATATATAGTATCAAATTTCAAGGGTCACCAATGAAAGAATAAAATAAGGAAATTTCAAACCTATGGGAAGAAGAAAAATGGATTGAGGGGAAAAAATCACCCACAAACATAGACGCATACAAGCAAGAAGCTTAGAAAAAGCTTAGAAATGGAAACGTAAAAGATGGTAAACCAAGTCCCAATTTATCAAGAATCAAATAAATATAAATGGATTGAACTTGTTAGAAGAGTGTCAGATTGAATTTTTTAAAAATCCAACTATATGTTGTTTACCAGAGAGAGACACACCTGAAGAAAAGGACACAGAATGATTGAAAATAAAAGGATGAAGAAAGAAATACCATGTAAATACCAACCAGAAGGAAGATGGTCTAGCTATATTAATATATGCTAACATAGACTTTAAGATATAAAATATTCTTACAGGTACAGAGAATAATTACATAAAAGATTCAGTTCAGCAGAAATACAAAAACGTTCTAAGTATATATAACAAAATAAGCTCCAAATATATAAAACAAAAATTGATACAATTACAAGAGGAATCTACAAATCCACTCTCTTAGTGGGAGATTTCCACATACTTCTATCAGTTATTAATAGACTAAATAGAGTTTTACTCAGCAAAGATAAAGAAGATTTGAACAAGATGATAAGTTTTATCTATTGATTATTCATAAGACTGTGTGCCCAATAATTAAAGAAAACAGCTTCTCAAGCACACATGATATATTTATAAAAACCAGTCATGTCCTATGTCATAAAATAAGACAACAAATTTTAAAGAATTGGTATTATAAAACCACATTCTCTGTCCACACTGCAATTAAACTGAAGGTCAATAACAAAAATATATATAACAAATTCTCATGTATTTCAAACTTTAAAAGAGTTAAAGAAGAAATCATAATGGAAATAAATTTAAAAGTATTAGAATTGAATGATAGTGAAAAAACTGCTTGTCCAAATGTGTGGAGAACATGAAAGGCAGTACTGGAGGGAAATTTACTACCTTAAATACATTTGAAAAGAAGAAAGGCTGAAAATTAATGTGCTAAATATCTGATTTCAGACATTATAAAAACAATATCGTAAATCTAAAGGAGAAAGAAAAAAATAAGAGCAAAAATCACAGAATTCAAAAATAAAGTACAGTAGAGAAAATATCAAAGCCAAAAAATTCTTTGAATAGCGTAATAAGGTGGACAGACCTTTGGTGAGAATAATCAAGAAAAGAGAGAAAACATCAGTAAATAACAGAAGGAGTGGAAAATCAGACAGAAAATAAAAATATAGCATAGGTGACAAAAAGAATACTGTTAACTTCTTTATTCCAATAAAATTGAAAACTTATACAAAATGGACAAGTGCCTACAAAAGTATAACCTAAGTAAAATTGACTCAAGAAGATGAAGAAAGCATGAATAGTCCTATAAGTATTTTTTTTTGTGTGTGTGAGGAAGATCAGCCCTGAGCTAACATCCATGCTAATCCTCCTCTTTTTGCTGAGGAAGACCGGCTCTGCGCTAACAGCTATTGCTAATCCTCCTCCTTTTTTTTTTCCCCCAAAGCCCCAGTAGATAGTTGTATGTCATACTTGCACATCCTTGTAGTTGCTGTATGTGGGACGCGGCCTCAGCATGGCCGGTGAAGCGGTGCGTCGGTGCGCGCCCGGGATCCGAATCCGGGCCGCCAGTAGCGGAGTGCGCGCACTTAACCGCTAAGCCATGGGGCCGGCCCTGTCCTATAAGTATTATTTATTTTTTTATTTATTTTTTATTTTTTGTTTATTGCCGTAACATTGGTTTATAACATTGTATAAATTTCAGGTATACATCATTATACTTCTATTTCTGCATAGATTACATCATGTTCACCACCCAAATACTAATTACAACCCATCACCACACCCATGTGCCGAATTATCCCTTTCGCCCTCCTCCCTCCTCCCTCCCCTCTTCCCCTCTGGTAACCACCAATACAATCTCTGTCTCTATGTGTTTGTTTATTGTTGTTATTATCTACTACTTAATGAAGGAAATCATACGGTATTTGACCTTCTCCCTCTGACTTATTTCACTTTGCATAATACCCTCAATGTCCATCCATGTTGTCACAAATGGCTGGATTTCATTGTTTCTTATGGCTGAGTAGTATTCCATTGCGTATATATACCACATCTTCTTTATGTATTCGTCCCTTGAGGGACACTTAGGTTGCTTCCAAGTCTTGGCTATTGTGAATAACGCTGCAATGAACACAGGGGTGCATGTATCTTTACGCATTGGTGTTTTCAAGTTCTTTGGATAAATACCCAGCAGTGGAATAGCTGGATCATATGGTAGTTCTATGCTTGATTTTTTGAGGAATCTCCATACTGTTTTCCATAGTGGCTGTACCAGTTTGCACTCCCACCAGCAGTGTATGAGAGTTCCCTTCTCTCCACATCCTCTCCAACACATGTTGTTTCCTGTCTTGTTAATTATAGCCATTCTGACTGGCATGAGGTGATATCTCATTGTAGTTTTGATTTGCATTTCCCTGATAGTTAATGATTTTGAACATCTTTTCATGTGTCTGTTGGCCATCTGTATATCTTCTTTGGAGAAATGTCTGCTCAGGTCTTTTGCCCATTTTTTAATTGGGTTGTTAGTTTTTTTGTTGTTGAGATGCATGAGTTCTTTATATATTTTGGAGATTAAGCCCTTATCAGATGTATGGTTTGCAAATATCTTCTCCCAATTGTTAGGTTGTCTTTTCATTTTGTTGACGGTTTCCTTTGCTGTGCAGAAGCTTTTTAGTTTGTGTAGTCCCATTTGTTTATTTTTTCTATTGTTTCTCTTGCCCCGTCAGACATGGTGCTTGAAAATATGTTGCTAAGACCGATGTCGAAGTGCGTACTGCCTGTATTTTCTTCTAGAAGTTTCATAGTTTCAGGTCTTACATTCAAGTCTTTAATCCATTTTGAGTTAATTTTTGTGTATGGTGTAAGGTAAGGGTCTACTTTCATTTTTTTGCATGTGGTTATCCAGTTTTCCCAACACCATTTGTTGAAGAGACTTTCTTTTCCCCATTGTATGTTCTTGACTCCTTTGTCAAAGATTAGCTGTCCATAGATGTGTGGGTTTATTTCTGGGCTTTGGATTCTGTTCCATTGATCTGTGTGTCTGTTTTTGTGCCAGTGCCATGCTGTTTTGGTTACTGTAGCTTTGTAGTATATTTTGAAATCAGGGAGTGTGATACCTCCAGCTTTGTTCTTTTTTCTCAGGATTCCTTTAGCTATTCGGGGTCTTTTGTTGTTCCATATAAATTTTAGGATTCTTTGCTCTATTTCTGTGAAAAATGTTGTTGGAACTTTGATAGGGATTGCATTGAATCTATAGATTGCTTTAGGAAGTGTGGACATCTTAACTATGTTAATTCTTCCAATTCAAGAGCACAGAATATCTTTTCATTTCTTTGTGTCCTCTTCAATTTCTTTCAACAATGTTTTATAGTTTTCGGTATACAGATCTTTCACCTGTTTCGTTAAGTTTATTCCTAGGTATTTTATTCTTTTTGTTGCAATTGTAAATGGGATTGTATTCTTAATTTCTCTTTCTGCTACTTCGTTGTTAGTGTATAGAAATGCAACTGATTTTTGTATGTTGATTTTGTATCCTGCCACTTTACCATATTCGTTTATTACTTCTAAAAGTTTTCTGGTGGATTCTTTAGGGTTTTCTATATATAAAATCATGTCGTCTGCAAATAGTGAGAGTTTCACTTCTTCCTTTCCAATTTGGATCCCTTTTCTTTCTTTTTCTTGCCTGATTGCTCTGGCTAGGCCTTCCAGTACTATGTTAAATAGGAGTGGTGACGGTGGGCATCCTTGTCTGGTTCCTGTTCTTAGAGGGATAGGTTTCAGTTTTTCACCATTGAGGATGATATTAGCTGTGGGTTTCCACTTTTCTGGGTTTTTAATTTTTTTTCAGTGAGGTATATGACTTTTATCATAAAAAATATGAACCTTGATTTTATATTAAATAATTTCTTTCTGCCAAAATTTCAGTGCTCAGAAGTAATAGAAATCTTTGATATTATAGTTGAAAGAAGAAAATTTAAATCTGAAAGGAAAATCAGTTATTTGATAATGTAAGATTATTGCTGTTTTTCTAAATACACTCAGTTTTGCTTTTATCCCTCTTTCCTTTTTGAGCTTTGTGTGGACTGTAGACGATTTGACACGGGATGCCGTAGACAACTAACAAGTACAGTCACATAACAAGAAAAACAAGAATTATGAGTTTCAAGGCTACATTTTTTATTCATTAAGATTCGTAAATTCTAGGATTGATTATTCCCCACTACATATGATGAAAATTCTTTTTTGTGACGCATTCATAGTGAGCAGAAACACTTTAATAAATGCATGTCACAATTTGGTGGTCGGAAGAGTTTCTAGGGGATGGTAAGGATTTGGTTTTATTTTTGTGAGCATATGAAGATAGTTTGTTGCTCCTTAGATTGTCAAAGATCCCTAGGATTCAGTAAAGTCTCTGTTGGCTGAGATTTCTGTCATCATCCTGAGTTTTTCAGGGCTTTTTCCTAAGTGGGTGAAAACCTTTCTGTTTTAGCAGGTTCGTGCCATCCAACCAAGCAGCATTCAGGAGTAGCCAAAACACAGAAGGAGGGAGAAGATGGTTCTTCGCACAGCAAACGGTACAACCAAAGTATGGTGACAGCTGAACTTCAGCGGCTGGCCGAGAAGCAGGCAGCAAGGCAGTATTCTCCATCCACACACATCAGTCTCCTCACCCAGCAGGTATGGACGGTTTGGGGTGCCCAAGAGCTCTTTGGGCCCAAGGAGAGGATTAACGGCAGGGTATTCTGTCATTCCTTGTCTTTATGGATTCCCATAGATGATGCCTGTTGAATGAGTATAGTTCGTTTCAAGCTAAAGAATGAAAGTGTTCCTCTTGAGCTTTAAAAAAAGAGTTTCTGTTACAGGTATTGCAAAGTGAAGTCTGCTATTGGCTCTGATGTAGTTACTTCGTGGATAAACAGACTTGAATGTTCAGCTGTAAATATACTTTTAAAGGATCTTTAAAAATAACTTCCTCTTTGGTAAAATTTTCCAGTGAGTTCTAGTCTTCTAAATCTTTTTACCAGAATGCCGTAACATTACCTTTTACTTTTTTTTTTTTTTTATCGTAGCGCCTTTCATCTCATGATCTCAGGATGTTTTCTGGGTACTGATTAATGAATTATTTCAGTACACTCTTATTCAACACGTATCAGTCTCCCCATTTTACAGATGGGGAAACTGAGGCTGAAAGAAGTGATGTAATCAAAGTCATGTGGCAAGCTGGATGGATAACTAGGATTTTGACTTTAAGTTATATATCTAATAACAAGCTTATAACACAGTGAAGTTAGATGAAAGTTTCAAGAGCTTTGGGGTTCTTTTTACCCTTCTTTCTGATTATCCCCTTGGTGTTTACCTGGAATTTGAAGCCATATTTCCTCCTTTTCCTTAATGCAAAATGGCATCAAAGTCCTCCAAAGGAATTATTATAATTTAACTCCACAGTTATATTTTGCTACATCTGTGTTGTGTCGAATTCCTTAATTGGTGGCAACCCTGTAATGATAATCAAGTCTAGAAAAAAGTGAAGCTGACACCTACTTCAAGCGCATGTTAAAAGTAGGCAACACACTGCTCCCTGGTGGTGCCCTCCTTCTCTGTATAAAATTGAGGACCAAAATTCAAGATAAGCCTTAGCCTTACTTCAGCTTCATCTCAGTGTGTGAGTTTGTAATTAATTTTCTTTTTCAAATCCTTAATAGTTTGAAGGAAGTAAGTGAAGAGGCCGAATGTGAGATAGGAAGCAAAGAATCTTACAACGGTGGTGTTGACACTTGAAGGGGGTTGGGTAGTTAGATTTTAGTGATAGAATGATGGGAAGAGGGAATAGAATATCATGACCATGGTAGAATGGAAAGGAATTTTGAAATGTGAAGTAGCTATGAGGAAGGGAGAGGGCCAGTGATCTGCTACACTTTTTTCATTGGGTCATTGACTAGAGTATATGTTTCCAATTTATAAATGAGTAGCTAGAAGCACCAAGACATTAAGCAATTTTCTTTGCAATTGTAGTAAAAATCATAGCTAATATTAGTCTTTACATATTTTCAACTCCTGTCATTTGGTAGACTGCAAAACTTGCAAAATGACAGGATCCTGATGCTGTGGGAATCCAAAGTGATTGTATCCTAGTTGGGAAGTCATCCCCTTCGGTCCATCTGTCTTCCTAAGAAGAATTTCAGTGCCAGTAAATTAAAAGTCCGTCAGACTTCTCCTCGTAGGGATCTGAACTTGCCATTAGATGTCAGTCTTAACTTTTAGTGTCTTGGTAACAGGGTGGTTAGTGCTTGGTACAATACTGAGGGAGGTGCTGTAGTGTGTAATAAGCTGGGTGGAATAGTGGAAGGAGAGCTGGATTAGCCATCTAAAGACCTGCCTACTTCTGCCACTTACTAGCTGTGTGATCTTGGGCAATTCGCTCAACTTCTCTCAACATCACGGTCTTTATTTGTTGATGGGGGAACCTGTTGTATTTTCCCCAATTATCCTCCACTTTGAGGATAGTGTGCAAAAACCTCTTTGTAAAGTCAAAATGCCGTATGCTTGGAAAATATTGTTATTTGAGCCATAAAAGACTTTCAATAATAAATGATTTTTAATTTGATTTGAAATAAGTTTTAGGATAAAATATAGTGTTACCAAAATAAACTTTGTTATTGAAAAGCTCAATTGTATGTTATTGGGCCTCTTCCCCTCAGAGAAAATAATTTGTTAATTTGGAATTTGGTTAATTTGGAATTTGGAAAATTCTACCTTTTATTGTTCTTTTTCTGGTAAATAACTGATAACGTGTTATAATGACTTAATGTCAGCTCTGGTACATTTGTTTACCAGCCGTTTCCTTTTTTTTCCTAACTCTGTTTGGAAGAAAGTTTCTTACACTGCCTTAGTTTCTTACTCACTGAGGCAAGTGATACAATGTCCCTGGCTTTCTGCAGAGAGGTGGGCATCCCCACAGGAAGTGGTGGGGGCTCTGGTCTTCTCTCTGGACTGGGAGCGTGAAGGCTTACATTCAGCTTCATCAGAAACAACTTTGTGTCCAGTTATCACTTTAAATGCTTTTGATTTCCTCTTACCTGAGATTATTACCTTATTTTCAATTCCTATTTTGTGTTTTCTTTTCTTTTTTCATATATCCAGTAGGCTTAATGAGTATTTTCTTTTCGTCCTCCATTTTTTTGATAAGATAATTCTGGATATATTTATTCCTTCTATTGTTTCTAACTGGTTATTTTCTTGTTTTATCTTTAATTTCCTTCCTTCTGCTTTCCCTAGCTTTGTTTTGTTATTTGCTCCCAATATCTTGAGTTGGGTACTTTATTTATTTATTTTCACTCATTCTTGTTTTTTACTATATTTAAAGCTGTGAATTTTTCTCCGAGTGTTACTGTAATTATAGCACATAAACTCTGGTATATCTTTACATTTTTTTCTGGGGAGAGTGTTAAGAGACGTACTAAATGAGGAAAGCTGATTTTAAATTATTTGTGCTACTTTGGAAAATGAGTATAAAAATTGAAATCCTTGGGTATTGCTAAAAAATCATATTGTCTCTCATTTCAACTGCTTAGCCCGTTAAAGGTTTTAGTGGCATTCTTCATAAAACTTTTTATTCAAATGTCTTTTTTCTATTTATTCATTCAAAAACATTTTATTAAGTTCTTTAGAGTGTTCCAGACTTTGGTACTAAGCCATAGGAATGATATAAGACTTAGTCCTTGGCATGAAATAATTCACACTCTGGTGAGGGTGACAGCCACATAAACACATGGTAATGACAGTGTGATTGTCACTGTGAATGCATGACACAGATATTTCTAGGGAATAACAAAACCACCGAAAGGGGTACCTAACCCAGCCTGTGGGTAGGAGTGGGAAGAAGGCCAAAACAGCCCTCTTGGAAGAGATTACACCTAAACTGAATCTTAAAGGTAGGCAGGTGGGTGGCAGAAGAAGGGTAGGGCAGGATCCAGAATAAAAGCTAGCATGTGTGTATGTGGGGAAACACATGTGGTTAGTGGTGTTGGAGGATGGGGAGTAAGCAGGGAGCAGCTACAGTGGAAGCGGGAGGAGAAGACAAGGGCTGGTTCTAGAAGAGCTTTGAATGCCCTGTGAAGGAGCTTACCCTCCATCTCATTGATGGTGGGGAGCCGCAAAGACACAATCAGCTTTGCCTCTTAGCTGAATCCCTCAGGTTGCTGGCAGGAAAGCGGATTAGAGGATGAAGCAATGTAACCCCGTTTTTCCTCCGTGCTCACAGGTGAAGATGCTGAGGGACAGCCAACTAGCCAGACGTAAAGAAGCATAGTACTCTGATAACCCAAAAATTTGATAATAAAACTTGAGGTTACCCAGAATTTACATTAGGGGCTAGACTCTTATGAATTTGTATGGCTGAAAACAGAACCTCATTTACCTTGTAATTACTTTTACTACTTCTGTGATGTAGTTAACTTTGTTTGTATCCTAGAATACATAAGAATATCAAACTTTCCCTGCCACCTGAAGAGGCCACGTTCACCACTTCAGAAATGTTTGTGCCAGCACAAGTATGCATAAAATATGAAGAGATACATGTTCTTAACATAGGATTATTCAACAGATACCTTACAGATCTGAGCAGAGAGCAGGTGAAATTTAGTTCTTTCCCTTGGCGCATGAGAGGCTGGTTATCTTTTGGGGATGAGGTCCTTTGGCAATCAGTCTGTACATCCTTGAAAGCAGGGTTTTCTAGAAGCATCTGTAGCCTCTTGAGAGGAGCACTGTGGAGGCTGAGAGGGTGCTGGAGTCAAGCTTCAGTGTAAGGTCTCACTACCTCTGCCTCACTCCGTGCTGGGAGAGGTGTGCTTTACAACTGCAGCACTGCACAGACGTAGCCCTTTGTGGTTTTTGCTGTTAGTGAACAGAAGAATGTGGCGAATTAGCCCAGCTCTGTGGTGAGGAGTGGGAGGCAGGGAATCAGAGAGCACTGGCCCTCTCTGTGCGGGCCAGTGTGAGATTTCAGGACCCAACTATCATTAGGAGCAGCTCCAGCATTTCCAGCCTGGGAGTTTAATCAAAGGGATAACAGCAGACCACCCAGGCGAGGGCTCCAAGGCGAACGAATGTGCTGTGTCAGTCTCTGTTCCCCAGCCAGCCAGTGCCCGGGATGTGGCCAGGCCTCCTGGAAATGTGCTGACAGATACGTAGGAGGGAGGAGACACTTTTTACTTCTCACATTTTTCATTTAGATGGAGAATGGAAAAGAAAACCATTCAGTTTCTTTCCTTTGTTGCAACGTACCCTAATAGTCCTAGAGAAGGGTATATGCTGAGGTATAGAATGTTCGGTTCACACCAGTTACTCCTTCACTCGCCTTCATTCATATACAGAGGAATTCTTTATCATTTCTTCTGCTTCAGCAGCTGCCATTGTAGTCATGCTAATTTATTCAGGGTCCGCAGTGGACCTTGAGTGAATCTCAGTTTCAGAAATTCCAACTTGAAGGTGGAATTGGCAGAGAGGGAGCTAACTTTTTGAAATGATTACAGATGTTCTCTAGGTTTGAGGCAAATGGCACCCAGTTTATCACAGGCTCTGGCATTTGGCGCTGGAAACTTTCTTCCTGCCTTCTTGGCTTATCTAGACACATTTGAACTACTGTACATTTGTGTTCTGATTTTGTGGTAGGTTTCTAA